ATCATAAAATAGCTTCACTATTTTTCTTGTTACCCATACATACAAAATATACGGTAAAAGAAACCTATGTTAAATAGTAAGTGAACTATTTTACATACATACAATTGATGTTCTAAATGATAAGAAGGCATTGTATCATGGTTTCATTGGCAGCATTTTCTTTCCTGATGATATGTGAAATGATGGCGTGACTTACACTCAGTTGCCTCTTAGGTTTGTTGAAATACAGTAAATCAGGTAACACAGTGGGGACACTGCCTGACACATTTCCTTACTGTGACCTACAGTAAGAAATGCATTCTATAGCACCTTCCAAGCATAGATTGTATTGCAATTGAAGAAAAATTTCATAAAACAATACGTACCCTGATCACTCTAATATATTTCTAGTCTATTCTAGTTCATTAAAAAAGGAGATGACCATGACCCCCTAAATTGATTTCATGCAATTTGAAAAACACCTTCCTAGGATTAAATTAGTTCTCAACAAATGTTCGCTATTAATAGTTTTAGCTCAGGGTATGACACTTGGGTATGTTTCATGCAATGGACTTTTGTGTGAGATCTCACCACTAAACGGAAAAAGATCTGTGGCCAAAGAAGATAGAAAACCACAAATCCTGATGAGCTAGTAAATACATCCAAGAGTAAGTAGATAGTGAATATTTCATATATAACAATTACAATAGTAAATATGTTAGGCTTTGCCAGCATTACAGTCTCGGTTGCCATTACTCACCTGTGCCTTTGGAGAGCAGCCACAGGCAATATACAAACACATGGCATGTGAAACTTAATTTACAAAACCAGGAAGCTGGCAGGACTTGACCTGTGGGCCGGAGTTGCTGAACTCCTGATCTTGACCATTGTTGAGCCCGCCTCCAGTCTGATATACCCAGATGGGAGCTATTCATAATAGCCAGTATTTACTAAACATCTGCTGTGTGGCATGGGCTTACTAGGTACTTCTAGAGACGATCACATTTTAAGATTCACAGTAACCGTGCAGGGGAAGGAAGATGGATCTGATTTGTACAAGTGAGGAAAAGGTAGCCCAGACATGCTGCCATGTGTGAAAAGAGTGACCTTGGTGGGGGAATTATTTTAAGGTCTCTGGGTATCAGTATTTTCACCTGAAATAGGGGGTGAACACAGACGCCACTGCGTTGGGCTGTGATGGGAATTCAGTGAGTTCCCCTGTGGATGCCTATCCCAGGGCTAGGACTTAAAGGGAAGTAAGATTCAAGTGAGACAAGTGCAAGCCGAGGGTTTAACATACCTTACCCCTTCCCTCCAGGAAATGACTCTATGGCCGTCTTCCCATCACCGCACTTACATCATATTTGACCGTGAGCGTGATGGGCACAACAGGCAGCTTCTGAGCCCAGTCCACGGTTGCCTGTGCCAGGAGGAAGGCCACGTGGTCTGTGGCCACCATCACCGCTGTGGCCATCAGGAGCAGGGTGAGCAGCCCCAGCCTCAGGAGACAGCTCAGCAGCTCCCCCTGAGAAAGCCTGGGCCAAGTGGCCCTGAGCAGCCAGGGTGGTGGGGAGGCCAGCAGGTGTGTGGCCCGGGCCTCTTCCAGCTGATGAGCCAGCTGCCGTGTAGCATAGATGTTATCAAACCTCAGGTCAGTCAGGTAGCAGTGGAGGTACCAGGCCGAGTCCACCAGGAGGCCCAGCATAAAGAGCCCTGTGACCACCCGCTGGGTCCCCAGTGCTGCTGACTGGGCCAAGGACTCTAGGCCTGAGAAGTCCTCCAGGACCTGCTGAGTGACCCCGAGCATGTGAAGTCGGAAGGCAGAGCCATTGCCCTGGACCTGGAGTGTCAGGCCTTGGCTGCCCGCTTGGCTGGTGGGACTCAGAGCCCTGGATGCTGCGTGCAGCTGGCGAGTGGTGTTGAGCAGGCTCTCCAGGGAGCCCTCAGTGACACACCTCAGCACCTGCCCAGCCGCGCCCATGTTGGCCAAGACGTTGGGCACCACAGTCGCAGCCAGGGTGGCGGTACTCCAGGAGAGGAGCAGGCGGCGGCCCTGCTCCGTGCCCAGGGTGGGCACACTGAGTGCAAACAGGCAGCGAGCAGGAGGCACCAGGCCCAGGCCCAGGAAGACCAGGAGGCCACAGACAGTGGCTACCATGGCTGAGGGCCCCAGAGGATAAAGCAGTGAGGACACCAGCCAATGGTGGGCCAGGCATGCCACAGCAACAGCCAGGAAACCGCACAGGAGGAGCTGGGTGAGCAGCTGGCCACAGCTGGCTGGGACAGGCTGAGAAAAGGCAGCCCAGGCAGCCTGCAGTGGGGCAAGGGCCTTGCAGAGCCCCAACTGCCAGAATCTCCACCTGCACACAAGGAAATTGGGGAAACCTCTATCAGGAGGGTGAGGGGTTGGGTCTGCCCAATGGCCCTGTCCCACGGACCCTTCAGCGGCTAACAGTCTCCACCCCTTTAGCCACAGGGGGTGGACAATTTTCCCAGGTGGGCCAATCAGAGTAACCCGCCCCCAAACCCACATGACCTAAGCTGAACCAATCAGAGCCTCCCCCAGAATTATTCTCACTGGAGTTGTCAGGGAAGAGCCCAGTCCATGCAGTTTCTGAGGATGTGAGGGTGAATATTTAGGATGCTTGAGTTCATAATTCCAGTTTTGTGAGTGAGAGCAACTGGGCCAAGGAAATGAAAGAGTTACGGAGAAAAGCACAGATGAAAGAGAGAGAGAGAGAGAGAGAGAGAGAGAGAGAGAGAGAGAGAGAGAGACTATTCACTTGAATTCATAGACTTGGTTGGCTCACTGTGTGACATTCCTTCTTTAGGGACCTCAGTGTCTCCTCTATAATTTGCGGGGAGGAGAGGAGAGGAAAGTGGATCAGTTGACCTCTGATGAACTTTTCTCCTCCATTTTCCTTATATTTATTCATCCAACAAATATTTAGTAAGCCGCTACTCTGTGCTAGCCACTGGAGAAACAGGAATGCATAGAGCAGATGAGAATCCCTGCCCTCCTAGAGCTGACACTAGTGAAAGCCGGGGAAGAGTAAGTAGAGGTTGGTTGCTAGGTGCGTGTTGTTGGAAGAAACAAGATTGACAGGCTGATTGGCTACGGGTGTGAGAGAAAGAGGGGCGTCAAAGGTGACCATGGCGTTTGGTGCCTGAGCAACTGAAAGCACTGAGGTGTTGTAGCTCAGGTGGAAGATCTGTGGTTGAAGCAGGTTTGCGTGGAGGGGCAGGGCAGGAATTCAGTTAAGACTCAAAGTCTTAAATCTGAGGCGCCAATTTCGCCATTCAGTGGAGCTGTTGAGTATGTGGTTGGAAACACGAATCTGGAATTCAGAAGGGAGATCAGGCCGGAGATAAAGAGTTGGGTGTTGTTGGTTTATAGGCGGCGTTTAAAGTCATGGAGCAGAACAAGGCAGCGTGTTGACTGGGAGGAAAGCGATCCACTCCAGGGCTAACAGGTTGGGAGACCACGAGGAACCAGCAAAGGAGACAGAGAAGTCAGGCAATGTGGTGCTTGGGAAGCCAAGCAAATAAAATGGGTCAAAAAGAAGGGAGCGATCAGATATGTCCAATGCTGCTGATGGGTCAAGAAAGATGAGGACTGAGCAATGACCATTGGATTTAGTCACATGGAGGTCACTGGCGACTTGACAAGGGCAGCTTGGTGGCACATTGGGCCAAAATCTAACTAGAATGGGCCCAGGAAAGACCAAAGGAGAAGAATGTGAGACACAGGTGCTGACGACACTTTCAAGTCACGTTTTGCAGTAAAGGTGCAGAGACATGGAGCAGTAGCTGACGGGGAAAATGGGACAAAGAGAGTTCATTTAAGATGGAAGAAACACCAGTAGATCTGCAGGTGGGAGATCCAATCAAGAGGGGGGACACTGATGAAGGGGAGGCTCACTGGACTGATCTCCAGTGGGTGGCAGGGGGTGACACTGAAAGCATGAAAAGTGGGGCTGCTCTTAGAAACACACAGAGGCCGCTCATGCTTAATAGCAGGTGGGAAGGCAGAGGAAATGGGTACAGATGACGGCGAATGGACAGGCCAAGTGTGGGCACTTATAGATCAGCATCATCTGATATACACAGAACACGGCAATGGTTAAGGGCGTGACTCCAGACTGCCTGGCTTCAAACCCCCACTTCACCACTCACCACCTGTGTGATCTTGGTCAGGTTTCTTAACCTCTCTGTGCCTCAGTTCTCTCATCTGTCAAATGGTGCAATAAAAGTCGTACCTCATAGGGTCTTGTTGTGTCTGGTACGTAGTAAGTACCACGTCAGCTATTATCTGTCATTAGAGCATCCGCCAGGCAGGGACTTGGTCTCTTTGGCTCACTGGTAGGTCCCTAGAATTGCACCTGCTAGGTAGTGGGTGTTCCATTAATATGTGTTGACTGTAGCATGTTTGCTTCTGGTTGCTCAGGATAGCAGGAAGCGAGGTCAGCACTCATGGGGAGGATGCTGGAGGAGGCGATGGAAGCTTGACGATGAAAGAGAAGGTATAAAATAGCTGCCTGGGAAAGCAAATGAATTAGGGACATGGCATGCATGGTGGGCAGTATGGAGTGCCAAGGTGAGGTTAGCGATCATGAAATATGGCCTTCCTAGGCCCCTGAAGGCCTTTTAATCTGGGACTAAACCCCCTCCTACTGTATAATTAGTATTCAGAACATGGTAGCTATTAAAATAATAGTTAATATGAACAATATTGGAATGGAAAGCCAGTTCTAGGTCATACTGGGTACCCAGGCTTGTGCTAAGCGTTGTCGATAATAAGGATTTTAGCTGCCATGTATTGAGTGCTTACCCTGAGCCAAGCACAATAGCAAGCCCTATGCGTGCATGTTCTCATTCAAGTCTCACAACAGTCTTGTAGACATTATTATTACTGTCATTTTACAGATGGGGAAACTGAGGCTTGAAGAGGTGAGTATTAACCCAAAGTCAGGGGAATCCTCTGCAGCCAGGGAATGGCAGAGCTGGAGACCTATGCTCACCCGCATGATGCCTGGATGTTTTCTTGCCTGTGGCCCCCAAATGTCCAAGGTCCCCAGACCTACCCAGTCCTGATGAGGTGCTCAGCTGTCCCCCGGAGGGCCCTCATGCTTCCTGAATAGAAGCAGATCCAGGCAGGCAGCCTCAGGCAGCGGTGGCAGGTGGAAAGGAATTGTGTCCTCTAGGACTTGGAAAACCCTGTCACTTCTGCTTTTCTGCCCTTAATTAAGCCCTCCTGATCGCCTTGTCCCGCCCTGCCTGGGCCCACCTCCCAAGGGGTTGGGCAAGCTGCCTCCTCCTCTTCAGGCAGGCAGGAGTGGGTGGGAGGGGTGGGAGGAGAGAGAGCAAGAGCCTCTTTTTCCAAGTAATGTCTCTAAGCCAGATAGTAGGGGTAGAATTAGTCCCATTTCACGGAGGAGGAAACTGAGGCTCAGGGAAACCACGTGGCTCGTTAGTGGTAGTGCTGGCATAGAACTCCACTGGATTTCGCTTTTCCTTCCCCCTCCACAATTACGTGCCCCAGGGGCAGCCCGATCCCAGCTCTTAGGGGTTGGGGACCCACAGCAGACACCTGGGCCTCTGCTGAAGCTCTCCAGCATCAGTGACTCAGGTCTTTCCCTCCAGCTCCCTTCCTGTCTTTAGTCCAAAGTGGGCCTGGCTCCAAAGCACCGTTCTGTCCCTCCCTAGCTGTGTGACCTTGGGCAGGTGACCTCATCTCCCTCTCAAAGTCCTCTTAAAAGAGAGTAATCATGATAACAGATAACAGCTATGTATTCTAAGACATGCTTCTAAACAGCTTCTATTCCAATTCACTGAATCCTTACATTCAATAACCCTTTGTGGTAGAGACTATTATTATCTCTATTCTTCAGTTCAGAAAACTGAGACCCAGAGAGTTAATTCCCTTAACCAAGCCACTCAGCTCGTAAGAGGCAGAGCCATGATTTATACCCAACAGCCCTGCTCGAGGTAACTGGTCATCCCCTGTGCTCTACTGGTGTGGAGGGAAAGATTCACAAGATTCGTGCTTCTGGCACTGCACATAGTAGGCACTCAATAAACGTGCATCACCTGTATGTGCTTGGCTGCAGTCATTGCCCCGCACGTACGCTTCCAGGCTGTTCTGAATACCAGGCCCCTACCTGGAAAGCAGGCACTTTTCCCCTAGCATCTCTGTACCCCATCACTGCCAGTAAGACTGCCTCCTCCAGGAGGCTTCTCCTGAGAACCCAGCCCTCCACCCTGCAGGATGGGCCAGTTAGGGGGGCACACTTAGGTGCTATTCCAGGCTCCATGTCATGTTCCCTTATAGGGACATGTTGCCTCAGTCACTTGCCCAGGCCTGAAAAAGGGTGTCCTGTGGCCCAGAAAGGGGAAGTGTCATTCTCATAGTCACACAATTGAATGAGATGCCTGCGGACCTCAGAGGACCTAACACCATTCCCAGGTCACAAGCCCCCTCCAGGAAGCCAGGCCAGGTGCCGAGTCTGCAAAGAGCTGGACACCCCAAGTAGAGTAGGAGCAGGAAACACGCATACCCGCAGGGCCGGCTAGGAGAACAGCAGTCCGGATGGAAACAGCGGTGCACGGCCATGTGTAGACCCCTTCACCAAAGGCAGTTTCTGCTGTGCTCCAGCTGAGGGCTGAAGCCTCCTGAAAATGAGGCCCAATGTTACCAGATGTTTCCATTTACCGTGTGCGCTGTGTGACCTTGGGCAAGACACTGTCCCTCTCTGAACTTGTGTGGGCTTTGCTGTGATGAGAGTACTAGTACTTCCTAGGGTTGTCTGAGGAGTCAATGAGATGATGTATGTAGGGTGCCCAGTAAACAATAGATACATGCTTCTGCCCTGGGCTGGTGGCCCTCCCTGAGTATCCCCCAGGCTGCTCAGACTTGATTGTACAGGCCTCTGCGATGTCCACTGGGCAAGATCCCTGACCAGGCTCCCATCACATAGGAAATTTCAGGGCGTTGTGTTAGTCAGAGGGGAGCAGTGCTGGAACACACCAGCATTTGCCCAGTTTCTGCACTGGCACTAGACGCTAATCGGTTAAGGCCCATGTTGGGCATTTTCTAAAGGCCTCTGGTGAATGTGTAAGATTTGGGAGGATGCGGGGGCATAGGAAGGCAAGGGGCTGAGGATGTTTTGGCTTTTCTCACTTCTGCCTATATAAGGATGGCCTGACTCCAAGGCCCACAACATCCGGAAGAGCCTTCTGAATCACCAAAATAGAATCAGCTTTGTTGAGGGGGAATTTCTGGGGAGAGGATTCAGAGCCATAAGACAAGAAGAAGAGGAAGTGGCAAACCCTCAGATCTAGAGTCAGAAGCAGAGGTCCATAGACTATGAGGGTCATTGACTTTTACAGCCTGTGGGTGTAGAATGTCACTGCCACCCTGTTGGTTTAAGACTATGGAGAAGTGGCTAAAAGTTGTCCCAAATAGACAGGGATAGCCGGTAGAAACAGGATGGGAACCGTATGTGTAATTTAAAAATGTCTAGTAGCTAGCCAAGAAAGTGAAATTAATTTTAATAAAATATTTTACTCAACTGAATAAACCCAAAATAGTATCCTTAAAACGTGTAATCAACATAAAAAAATTATGAATGAGATATTTTTACATTCACTCTTTTGTACTCAGTTTTTAAAATCCGGTGCCCCTGGACTAAAGGTGCCAGCTCCAGCAAGGCCTTTCTCTTTCTCAGACCTCAGGCTGGGGGTTGCTTCTCCATGACTAGCTCTCCCCCCCGCACCCCGCCTCCCCAGCCCCCCCTCACTGGGCCTGTCCTTTCTCTCATGGTATCCCTACCCTGTGCCCACACCTTGTAACTAGACCTTTCACTAAACTCTCCTCAAATTAGCTAGCTTATGTGCTTACTACCTTCTTTTGAGACACTGACTGCACACGCTCGCCTCTCAGATGAGGAAACCAAAGTCGAAATCAGTAAAGGTTGCACAGGAGTCAACGTGGCTTACTGCCCCCCTCATTCAATCCTCTTATTCATCTTTTCTTTCCATTTACCATCACCGCCTCCACTCCTCTGCTTGCTTGACTCTCTGTAAATGTTTCAGGTATATGCACTGGAATATGTACGTGTCTGTCCTAGCCTATGTACCTGTTGTCTAACGCTTCTACGTGTCGCTGTGTTTCCCAGTGTGTTTCCTCCATATTTTAATTAAATAGTCCCTACCCCCACAGTGATGGTCACCTAGGTGGCCTTCAGCTCCTTGGTCCCTCAAATAACAGTGGTACTAATATCCTTCTACATCATCTCCTTAGGGACCCATGTTGCTAGGATATAACCCAGGAGTAGGTTAATGGGGCATAGAGAATGCAGATAACGAAATGAATTCCCCTAATTATTGCCAAGTTGCTTGCCAGGCAGATGGTGACAGTTTATAGACTCACCAGCAGAACACAAGGGTCTCTGTTTCCCTCCATTTCACCATCACTTATCATTCACTTTCCTACTCTTTGCCAGTCTGATTGGTGTATCAGTGAATCTTGGTTTAACTTGCATTTATCTGATGACCAGTGGGTTTGAGCATCTCTTTATAAATTTGCTGGATGCTTAGGTATCCCTTTTCAGAATGGCATATTCATGGCCTTCACTCAGTTTTCTCTCGGCGTTATGGTAGAAGGCTTCCAAAGATGGTAGCCAACTAGCCTCTGCCCTGTACGTGAATTACGTGGATACCACTGCTCCCGGCAAAGGGTGGAGTCTACGCGTATTTCCTCTCCTTGAACCAGGCTAACCTGTGACCTGCTTTGACCAATAGAATGCGGCAGAATCAATGCTCTTAGAGTCCCAAGCCCAGGCCTTAAGGGACCTTGTAGCTTCTGAGTTTGCCTTCCTAGAAGGCCACTGTCATGTAAAGAGATCCAGGCTAGACCCCTGGAGAAGCCACATGACCCTGGAAGGCCCATGGCCATGGTGGACATTCCAGCTGCAGCTAAATCCCTGGCCGCACCCTGTAGAGCAGAGACAAAAACATCTCTGTAGAATTCTGTCCAAAGACAGAAACGGGAGCCAATAAATCATTGTGTTTTAAGGCCCTGATTTGGGGAGAGATTTGTCATGTAGCCACAGGTAACTAAAACAGGCGTTTAGTTTTGTTTTTGTCTCTTCTGACTCCTGGGTGCTCCTTGCCGACTCCAGACTTGAGTCCCTGGTATATTTCCAATGACTCTGCACTACCCTTGCCATCCCCTCTCCCCCCACGCCACTATGAGTAGTACATGGCTGACTCCTGGTCTCAGTCCAGTGCTGCCTCCTCAGAGAAGTCCTCCCTGACCATCCTGGCTAAAGTAGCCTCTGAGCCAGTTTACCACATCAGCCAGTTCCATTTTCTTCTTAGCTGGCATCGTGGACCCAGAGTAGTTTCATTTATTTGTTTACTTGCCTACTGCCTGTCTCCTCAGTTAGAATGTAAGTTCTGTGTGGATGGGGACAGTGAATGAGCACATAACCAGGTTCTAAATAAATACTGCTGTTAGGGGTGAAAAGGATAACTATTGCATTGTTCTGTACACCTGAAACTAACAATAAAAATAAATAAATAAATAAATACTGTTCAATGAATAAATGGAAGACTGAGTGGGCAAAGAAATGATCCAAACAGACCCCAGATCAGAGGGTGAGATTGCTTTACTCATTAAACTCTGCTACAGATTCGTTTATCAAAGATTTATTGAGCACCTACTATGTGTCAGAAGCTGTTCTAGGTACTGGAGTTATAGCACTGAACAAAATAAAGTTTGAATTCTCACAAGTTTATATTCTAGAGGGAGAGAAATTTAATAAACCAGAAAACAAATAATACAATGGCCTGACTAAATACTAAGGAAAATATAGGAGCATAAGGAGGTGGAAAGTAATGAGAATGATATTTTAGGCCAGATGGTCAGGGAAGCTTCTCTGGGGAGGTGACATTTGAGCAGAGACCTGAATAGAGCGAGGAAACAAGCATATGTTTGGGAGCAAAGTGTTCTAGGCAGAGGGAACAGCATGTGCAAAGGCCCTGAGGCAGGAGCGTTTGAGTGTGCGGCTGGAGTGGAGCAGAAAGGGGGAGAGCGGTAAGACAGTGAGGTCAGGGAGGCAAATTCTGTGGAACCTCCAGCTCAGGAATTTGGGGGTTGGAAGCTCTTTTATGTCCACAAAAGCAAATCATCTCCAGGGCCAGTGTTGATTACCATTCTTTATTGTATAGCATTTTCAATCAGAAGTATGTGAAATCATGATTCATCTGGTGACAAGTCCCATGGATTTCTCTGTGAATGAACTTCTCTCCTCCCCATCCCACAGGAGTGTGCTTCCTGCCACCCCCACGGGCTGTAATCGTGACTAACTGCTGAGGTGCTACTCATGGGAAGGAGGTGGGGCTCATCCTCCAGCTCCTCCCTCCTCCCCCCTGCTTCCAGGGAAACATCCATGACTCATCCGTGCTGTCCTGAGGACGAGTTCAGCCTCTAGGGACCGCCTTCCCAACGCATGCTGCCGGGGAAACACATCCCTCAGAGGCGCAGGACGGGCAGATGCGAGGCTTCCGGGCCCCTCGGGTGACACCTTTTCTGGTGCCATGCTACCACTGTGCCACTCCTTCCACAGACACTTCCTGAGCACCCACTGGGGCCAACACTGTGGGTGCCCAGATGAAACCAGGAGCGATTAACCCCCCCCGGGAGACGCCGCCACCAGCCAGTGGCTCAGGGGAAGCCTCTTCTCCCCATCTGTAGAAAAGGATTAGCACACATTGCCTGCCTGGGACATTTCACTCCAGCCTTTCACAGGTTATCTTTTGATTTTTGTCTCGCCCCTAAAAAAATGGGGACTTTGCTAATCAAACACGCTTACCACTTAGGGTGGAGTTGCAGGGGGATGGGGTGGGTAAAGACCAGCTACTAAAACAAGAAGTAGCTGGCAGCCACAAAGTCCCCTGTGGGCCACATGCGGGAGGGAGGGTCCTGGCTGGAGGGGCCATGGGACACCTGCGAGAGGACAGGGCCCAGGCTGGGCATGACTGCAGAATTATGGCCAAACTGAATCCGATTAAACAGGAAAACCCTAAAAAGCATGGGTAGAGATGTCAGTGGGGGTTTCTAGAACTCCCTTGATGTGCTTGGGAGCCCAGAGAAGCAGCAAGGAAGCTTTGCCCAGTCTCCATGTCCTCAGGGAGTCATCTGTCCCTCCGTGTCTCCAGGGATTGAAAGTAAGTCTGGCTGCTGGGTATCAGTGGGGGTAATCTTCAAACAACTGACGTAGAATGGGCACCAACCAAGCGGAACACGCCCTCGCTGTGAACAGCTGGAAGTAACGGGACTGGAACACTGCAGCCTCTCTCCTAGAGGCAAGATGGTCTCTCCAGAGTGTAACCTAAAGCAGTCAGCGGGGAATGTTAGTTGTGCCCACGGGGATGGATGGCTTCCCATCCCAATGGTTCAAGACAGATGCCGTTCTAGATTTGCTTATTGTTGCTAAAATCAGGCTCTCTCTTGCATCCTAACCATATGCCAGCTCAGAGATAAAAAAGCTGCTTTCTCAGGCAGCAGATCTGGGAAATATCTGGGCCCTGACGGCATGAGAGAGGAGATGTCCTAGATGATGCACCTGTTGACCCCAATGGACCACTAGAGGTCACCCTTGTTTGCTGCACGCTGATTGCAGAGAAGAAGTGCTCGCCCATCCTGTAGGATCCTAGCAGCAGGTGACGGCAAAAGCCTTCAGAGAGAGTCCAGCCCGAAGACAGTCTCCAAAGAGCACTCAGAGGGTCCGAAATGTGTTGTTGGCCAAAGTGGGCGACAGTGTCGTGACGCTGCCTGAGTGGTTGAGGGCCCAGTCTGGGAAAGTGCCCAGCTGGAAGATGGCCTGTGCCCAAGTATTGATGGCCAAGTTGAGCAGAAGGACGCCCATCAGGTTCATCAGGAAGCCCGCCCGCACCTGAAATAGATTGCGGACAGAAGGAGGGGTCAGCTCGTGGCCCGTCTCACAGGTGGGAAAACCCAGGCTCCGAGTCAGGACGCCATTCACCCAAACTCAGGTCCGTCACTGCCCAATCCCCTCCCACCTTTACACTCTTCTAGGCTGTCCGTCAAAGAGCTGCACATGTCCCCACTCATGGAGTGATTCCTAGGTGTCAGGTGCATGCAGTTGTCCTAAGGTCACTTAACCCTGAAAACAATGCTCCGAAGGCTGTCACTATAATTATTTCCATTTTACAGAAGAGACAAATGAGGCTCAGAGAAGTTGGGCTTACCCAAGGCCTCACAACTTGAAAATAATCTGATGTGATCATTAAACAACCCCCTGAGCATACACACACACACACACACACACACACACACACACACACACACACACAC